TAGCTGATCGAGAAACTGGTGTGCAATTAAGCACTTAATCACTGAAGGTGATTAAGGTGCTTTTACAAGCTCAGGTTGTATAGTTACATCACATACATACATTGTATGATTGATACATTACATGGTCAATCTTGGGTACAAGTCCAATATATCATCAAGTGTTCCAGTACTCATATAGTAATTACAGAGTTCAGCATACCTCAGCCCAGGAGGGCGAAAGTCAGTCAGTATGGGACATTCTATAATATAATGTTCAAGAGAGTGCATGTTTTCTCTTTCACAAAGTTGACACATTGTGTACTCGACATTTGGGTTTTGAGAAAGCTGCCAGATACGTCTATATCCCAGGCGTATTCTGGCCACTATAACATCACATTGCCGGGTTCTTGTTCTATTAGTCCCATATGTGAATGTCTCCTCACGATATCTATCATAATATTTAATGCTACAACTTTCAGGTCTTTGTGAATTCGTTAGGTCTGTGAGATCTTCATTAGATATTTGTTTAAGTATTCTCTTTGTCACTGCTAATGAAACATCCATATCATTGTTTACCACTGTTTTTCTACAGGCAGTCTTTGCAAGCATATCAACAGTGTCATGCCTTGAGATGCCAACATCTGATGGTATCCATAGGAATTTAATCTCAAATCTGTTTTCTTTGGCAGCTAAAACATTCATTCGAATATCACTGACTATTTTCTGGGTGTCACTACTATGTGCGTTCAATGCCAGGAGTGCACTCTGCGAGTCACAGTAAATAAGTCCACTTGATTTGTCTTTTAAAAATTCAGTGGCAAGGTATACGCCTGCAAGTTGGGTTTGAGTTGTACTTGCCCAGTCATTGACGCGCTTCATTACTGTATGTACGAGAGAAGATTGTTCAAATATATTACATGCACATCCGGTACATCGTCCACCTTCTACAGAGCCGTCGGTATAGCACTGATACACATCGTTACCCATACTCTGAGTACTTTCAGTGATGCTGCACAGTGTTAACTGTTTTAATAATGTAGAGTGCACACTATCTTTCTTGGGCGCATTTACAAAATCAACTGATAGATCCCAGTTATCCCATGGAGTAATTGGTTGATTAATCATTAATTGAGTTGGTACATATTTAATATTTAGATGGAGTTGGCTACCTTGTAGAACCAAAATATATAATCAGATTTCGTTCTTCTTCTATAGACCTCAGGTGAGTGCAGCATATTAGAAAGTTTAGCTTGAAACTTCATGTGTTGCCTAGATCTACTCAATGCCTTCACGCCGAAAACTGTGCTAATAGACAAAATTCTCTCACTTATGGTAGGTAATTTTAACTCTGCTCTCATATTAACTATTCTCGTGGACTTTGGAGCCCCAAGGATGAGACGCATAGCTTCATTTTGTAAGGTTTCAAGAGATTTCAGCTCTTTGTCAGTATACAGTGTGAGATGTAGAGCATTGTAGTCAATCACTGAGCGTATAAATGATACATAAAACATTCTAGCAAGTCTCACATTAATTCCATGATTGACACCAACAAGGACCCGCAAGGGCTTTAATCTCTCCCAGAGTCTCCTCTTGAGAGAAGAAAGGTACGTAGTGAAAGGTAAGGTACTATCCAATGGAGTATCTAAGCAACAGAAGATAGTGAGTCACTGTGAGGGTTGAGGTCTCAGATTGGAGAAACGTCACCATTGGAGTCCCGCAGGGTTCAGTCCTTGGATCTATACTGTTTCTGATATACGTAAATGGTATAGTAAAAGTAAATGGCCCAGAGGGTATAGAATCGTTCCTCTCATTGTTTGTTGATGATGCAAAAATTATGAGAAGGATTAAGACAGAGGAAGATAGTATGAGCCTACAAGATGACCTAGACAAACTGAACGAGTGATTCAGTAAATGGTTACTAAAGTTCAACCAAAGTAAATGTAAAGTAATGAAACAAGGCAATGGAAACAGGAGGCCAGACACAGGATACCGAATAGGAGATGAAGTCCTTTATGAAACGGACAGAGAGAAAGATCTAGGAGTTGATATCACACTAAACCTGTCTCCTGAAGCTCACATAAAAAAAAAATAACATCTGCAGCATATGCAAGGCTGGCTAACATCAGAACTGCCTTCAGGAACCTTTGTAAGGAATCATTCAGAACTTAGTATACCACATAAGTAAGACCAATCCTGGAGTATGCGGCACCAGCATGGAGCCCGTACCTTGTCAAGCAAAAGATGAAGCTGGAAAAAAATAAGAGGTATGTCACTAGGCTAGTCCCAGAATTGAGAGGCACAAGTTACGAGGAAACGCTGCGTGAAATGCACCTCTCGACGCTGGAAGACATAAGAGTAAGGGGAGACATGATCACAACCTACAAAATTCTCAGAGGAATTGACATGGTAGACAAGGATAAACAGTTTAACACGGCTGGTACACGAACAAGAGGACACAAGTGGAAACTGAGTACCCAAATGAGCCACAGGGATGTTAGAAAGAACTTTTTCAGTGTCAGAGTAGTTAACAAGTGGAATGCATTAGGCAGTGATGTGGTGGAGGCTGACTCCATACACAGTTTCAAATATAGATATGATAGAGCCCAGTAGGCTTTGGAATCTGTACACCAGTTAATTGACAGTTGAGAGGCGGGACCAAAGAGCCAGAGCTCAACCCCTGCAAGCACAACTAGGTGAGTTCGACTTGGTAAGTACACACACAAACATACACGTGTGCCTCGCCCAAAAGGAAAAAAAAGGAAATGTAGATGAGAAACCCATAGTTTAATCAGAGATGTAAGCTAGCAAGGCAACTAAGTACAATACCGTGGAGAAACTATAGAAATAACAGGACACTAGTGAGCAGAGAAAGTTACCAGAGTGCCAAGAATGAATAAGTCAGGGTGAGAAGAGAAGCAGAGAGGCAATATGAAAATGACATAACGTGCAAGGCAAAGACTCAACCCAAATTGCTGCACAGCCACATCAGGAGGAAGACAACAGTGAAAGAACAGGAAATGAAACTGAGGATAGGGGTAGACAGATTCACTATAAACGACAAGGAAGTGTGCGTGGAACTCAATCAGAAATTCCAGGAGGTCTTCACATCAGAGCAAGGAAAAGTCCCAGAGATAAGAGAGGGAATATCTAACCAGACACAACTAGAGCAGTTTGTGATTACCAGTGGAGGAAGCATCTGCTAGATTTGGATGTGACAAACGCTATAGGGTCGAATGGTATCTCACTATGGAGTCTAAAGGAAGGAGCAGAAGCTCTGTCCCTACCACTCGCCATGGTGAACAACAAATCACCGGTAACAGGTGAACTGCCAAAAATTTGAAAGATGGCTAATGTAGTTCCGATATTCAAGAAGGGTGATAGATAGGAGACACTGAACTACAAGCCAGTGTCCCTAACTTGCATATCATGCAAGTTGGAGAAGATTGTGCGAAAAGAGCTAGTAGAAAATCTGGAGCGAAAGAACTTTGTAACGCAACATCAGCATGTATTCAGGGATGCCAAGCCCTGCCTCACCGGATTAATTGACTTCAATGACCAGGCAACAAAAATTAGGTAAGATAGAGAGGGTTGGGCAGACTGCATATTTCTGGACTGCCAGAAAGCCTTTGACACAGTACCACATAAGAAACTAGTTCACAAGCTGCAAATGCAGGCAAGAGTGAAAGGGAAAGTACTCCACTAAATAAGGGAGTAGCTAAGGAACAGAAGACAGCGAGTCACTGTGAGGGGTGAGGACTAGGAGTGGCGAGGCGTCACCAGTGGAGTCCCACAGGGACCAGTCCTTGGACCTATACTGTTTTTGATATACGTAAATGATCTCCCAGAGGGAATTGACTCGTTCCTCTCAATGTTTGCTGATGATGCAAAAATTACGAGGATGATCAAGAAACAGGAAGATAGTATGAGGCTACAAGATGACCTAGACAAACTGAATGAATGGTCCAACAAATGGCTACTAAAGTTCAACCCAAGTAAATGTAAGGCAATGAAACTAAACGGAGGAAATAGGAGGCCAGACACTAGATACCGAATGGAACATGTCCGTCACGAAACGGACAGAGTCAAGGCCTTGAAACTTTTTGATATACATGTTGACCAGACCACACACTAGAAGTTGAAGGGACAACGACGTTTCGGTCCGTCCTGGACCATTCTCAAGTCTTTTTGATATACATGTATTGTTTAGCTATGAAAATACTGTTGGTAAGCTATTAGTTAGAAACAGCCCTCGTAGTGATAATTGTGTCATTTATAAAATACCTTGTAAAGACTGTAATAAGTTCTATGTTGGGCAAACATCTAAAGATTTGAAATGTAGAATTTCGCAACATAAATACTCTGTAAGACATGGCCAATTGTCTAATGCTTTGTTTGTTCATCTGTCAGAAGATGCTCACCAAATTGATTGGGAGATGGCGTCTTCAATAACGAATTGTAAAAGCACCTATAACAGAAACATAATTGAATCTGCTTTGATACAGATCACAAAAGAAAGTAATATGAACATTAGCAGTGGTTTATATAACTTAGATCCTTTTTCGATAGATCAATTAAAGAGCGATTTGAGTAGGATCATTGGAACACATTTGTCTCACTAATTTATTGTAAATATTTACTATGTTATGCTATGATTATCCATGTGTGGGCCTGTGTGTGGTTATGAATGGGAGCTGCATCGGATGGGCCAATAGGCCCTCTGCAGTTTTTGTGCGGTTCATATTTGTGTCCACTTTTTGTACCTCACCTCACTCCTCCACCATTCTCTCCTGCCTATTTATGTCCAGTAAAACCACTCCTTCTGAAGATGTACTAATATACGAAAGTACTTAAGGAAATTCCTGTTTCAATTTTCCTCCGTGGTCTGACACTGTCATATATATATATATATATATATATATATATATATATATATATATATATATATATATATATATATATATATATATATATATATATATATATATATATATAATTACAATTCATAATGCATATAATAATTTCAAATCCTTATAAACGAGCATTCTTAAGATATTACTTGACAAATGCTGTAGAAGGCGTTTATTCAACGGTGACACATATTAATGTGTTGGGTGTGTATGTGTGTGTTGAGGGCTGCGAGGAAGGTAGTAACTGTAGTGTTGTGTGCGTCGCAGGTCCCCATCATCGCCAGCAAGGTGTGCGAGGCGGTGTACGAGGACTACTTCATCACTTCCAATATGTTCTGCGCCGGCTACCGCAAGGGCCGCGTCGACTCGTGTGCCGGGGACTCCGGAGGACCGCTTCTGTGTCACCGCTACGGCAGATGGTGAGCCAACCCACTCAACCCCCAACCGTACATTACCATTAAATTATTAAGTTTACAAGTGCACTGACATGTGCACACACTCTCAGACTCATTACAGACATTAACTCTCAGCCTCATTAGAGACATATTAACTCTCAGCCTCACTAGAGACATTAACTCTCAGACTCACTAGAGACATATTAACTCTCAGACTCACTAGAGACATTAACTCTCAGACTCACTAGAGACATATTAACTCTCAGACTCACTAGAGACATTAACTCTCAGACAACTGGAACACGACAAGTGTTACCGACAAACAATAACTGGGACAGGCAGCAGGAGACTAATAACGGAGGCAAAGATCATAGAGCTTCAGGACAGGAGTGCAAATGATTGGTATACTCCATCGTCCTTTAGTGCTAAACAGCTTTTCATATCATCCTTCATAGAAACATTTCTAACGAGAGGGAGAAGCAGGTTCAGATAACAGGAGACAGGTACCTGATTGGCTGAGGAAGTACCTGATGGATAGGAGTCAGTGAAGAGCTTGCCTGTTGTATGTTCCTTTGGAGCAATGAAAATAGGTGTACCTCTGTTCATCTCTCCAAAAGTGACAAACAAGTGTGCAATGTTTTCCGTTTCTCTGGGTGACATAGGCAAATATACTAGTGTCGTTCATCTTTCTTGGGTGACAAAACTGTGTTAATTTTTCCTGTTCACTAGGGTGACAAACGGATATGCCAGCGTTATCTAACCCACTAGGGTGACAAACGGGTATGCCAGCGTTGTCTAACCCTTTAGGGTGACAAACGGGTATGTCAGCGTTGTCTAACCCTTTAGGGTGACAAACGGGTATGTCAGCGTTGTCTAACCCTTTAGGGTGACAAACGGGTATGTCAGCGTTGTCTAACCCACTAGGGTGACAAACGGGTATGTCAGCGTTGTCTAACCCACTAGGGTGACAAACGGGTATGCCAGCGTTGTCTAACCCACTAGGGTGACAAAGACAGCAGTAATCGTCCAATGTGACTAATTTCTCTCCTTCCTTCAGGTACATCTATGGCATCACGTCGTTCGGGGAGGGTTGCGGTAAGCGGGGTAAGTTTGGCATCTACGCCAGAGTGTCCAACTACCGCCACTGGGTACAGAGCGTCATCTCCACTCCCTACCCCTGAACAATGCTCCCTACCTTCACTCATGCCCTCAACTTCGAGCGCTGCTCTCGTCCTCGAACGACGTGCTGGATCTTGAAGGTTTTCCTGCCCATCATCCGTCAAGATAACCCTGATCCTTGACTGCTCGTCGTCTGAATACTGCCCAAGACTTTAAAACAAACTCTGGCACTTGAGCACAATGTGTTACCCTCTAAACATTATCGCTAGTCATTATATTTAATACCCCTGACTCTTAAATACTGGTTCTAACATTTGAAAATGACCTCTTACCACTGAATTGTGCCACTTGTCCTTAAATACTGCCACTGACCCTGGAACGATGGGTGGGGCTGGATGAAGGGGCTGGAGCAGGCACGACAGTAATCAACAGGAGGTCCACCATGAGGGGTGGAGGCCAGGACCGGGTCGTCCTCGCTGCGGCACCAAGTCACAATAACAGAGGGAAACACTAAGGCTTCAAGAACCACCAGTCAGCAAAGGGTGACAACACTCAATGTACTCATCTGTCGTGGATCTTGACTCATTCTAATGAGTATTATGTGAGACTTGTCTGTCAGTCAGTCAGAGAGAAATGCTATGATGGCCTTGTGCTAAGCGAAGATGAACTATGGTTGTGAGTTTCACAGATGAAGGCGTGATCAAGTCTTCACGCCTGACGGACGTACACAAACTCCTCAGACAAATAGAGTGAATCAGATCACCTATGACGAGCGCAGAGGAGCGTCGCAGGTACCATCACCATCAGTGATGGGAGCCAGTGGAAAAGGGAGAGACCACCGTCCCATGGAATAGTCACCATCACTTCCCACGCTTTTCAACGAGGCGTCGAACCCTTACTTGTGCTTGCTGGGACACATGCCGTCGTGTGGTGGCGTGTAGTGCTTGCTGGGACAGGACAAAGTGTCCCCCAGCTACTGGAGTGAGTGAGTGGGGACGTGGTGTCCCCCCCACAGTTACTGGAGTGAGTGAGTGAGTGGGGACGTGGTGTCCCCCCCACAGTTACTGGAGTGAGAGGGCTGGCACAGGTGCGACACTGTGCCAGAGAGGGCAAAGTGTACCTGGACAGGTGTAGTTAGTGGTGAGGTAACTTGAGCATCTTCCTCCTGTGAGAGTAGCAGCATCCACCTTCTCCGTGGAGTTAACCTCAGCTTTTGACAGCTCTTCAGTGGTGATATGTTAAGCATTATATTTTATACGTGATTAATAAATCCAGAGACTGAAATGCGGTACAGCAATATTTGATTAAAAATTAGAAATTTTGTGTTCAAGCTTTTGAGAATCAAATCAGCGGAGACTTTGACGCTTGCGGTAGCGTTACGCTTGTGTAACCTGTAGTGACACTCCTGTGAGGGGGGGGGGCAGGTCAGTGCCCGACACGTCTTACCTGTTGGGAGCTTATGGTGCTTGTCTGTTGCCCGTTGATACCTGTTGAGACTGTCAGTGTGTGTCTCACTCCCCCGTTGATACCTGTTGAGACTGTCAGTGTGTGTCTCACTCCCCCGTTGATACCTGTTGAGACTGTCAGTGTGTGTCTCACTCCCCCGTTGATACTTGTTGAGACTGTCAGTGTGTGTCTCACTCCCCCGTTGATACCTGTTGAGACTGTCAGTGTGTGTCTCACTCCCCCGTTGATACTTGTTGAGACTGTCAGTGTGTGTCTCACTCCCCCGTTGATACCTGTTGAGACTGTCAGTGTGTGTCTCACTCCCCCGTTGATACCTGTTGAGACTGTCAGTGTGTGTCTCACTCCCCCGTTGATACTTGTTGAGACTGTCAGTGTGTGTCTCACTCCCCCGTTGATACTTGTTGAGACTGTCAGTGTGTGTCTCACTCCCCCGTTGATACTTGTTGAGACTGTCAGTGTGTGTCTCACTCCCCCGTTGATACCTGTTGAGACTGTCAGTGTGTGTCTCACTCCCCCGTTGATACCTGTTGTGACTGTCAGTGTGTGTCTCACTCCCCCGTTGATACCTGTTGAGACTGTCAGTGTGTGTCACTCCCCCGTTGATACTTGCTGTGACTGTGTGTCTCACTCTTCCTATTATATATATATTCCTGTATATATATCTTTCTCATCTTCTGGTTCGCTTTCTCATCTTAAGTTTTTGTCTCATTCTCCATCTTTTACATCAATATATATGAAACATTTGCTTCTACATTTGAGAAAGATCTTCTACCTTTGAGAAATATATGCTTCTTCCACTGAGAAAGACCAGTTGCTACCACTGAGAAAGACCAGTTGCTACCACTGAGAAAGACCAGTTGCTACCACTGAGAAAGACAAGTTGCTACCACTGAGAAAGACCAGTTGCTACCACTGAGAAAGACCAGTTGCTACCACTGAGAAAGACCAGTTGCTACCACTGAGAAAGACCAGTTGCTACCACTGAGAAAGACCAGTTGCTACCACTGAGAAAGACCAGTTGCTACCACTGAGAAAGACCAGTTACTACCACTGAGAAAGACCAGTTGCTACCACTGAGAAAGATCAGTTGCTACCACTGAGAAAGACCAGTTGCTACTACTGAGAAAGACCAGTTGCTGCCACTGAGAACTACTGACGTTTGGCGTGATTTTGTGACCTGATTAGATTATATAGGAAAAGTGATATATTAGTTAGGTAAGCATGTATGATATCTTCGAGCCATGATGTACTCTGCCGTAATGTGATACCTACATGTATGATATCTTCAAGCCATGATGTACTCTGCCATAACGTGATACCTACATGTATGATATCTTCAAGCCATGATGTACTCTGCCGTAATGTGATACCTACATGTATGATATCTTCAAGCCATGATGTACTCTGCCGTAATGTGATACCTACATGTATGATATCTTCAAGTAATGATGTACTCTGCCATAACGTGATACCTACATGTATGATATCTTCAAGCCATGATGTACTCTGCCGTAATGTGATACATACATGTATGATATCTTCAAGCCATGATGTACTCTGCCGTAATGTGATACCTACATGTATGATATCTTCAAGTCATGATGTACTCTGCCATAACGTGATACCTACATGTATGATATCTTCAAGCCATGATGTACTCTGCCATAATGTGATACCTACATGTATGATATCTTCAAGCCATGATGTACTCTGCCGTAATGTGATACCTACATGTATGATATCTTCAAGCCATGATGTACTCTGCCATAATGTGATACCTACATGTATGATATCTTCAAGCCATGATGTACTCTGCCATAATGTGATACCTACATGTATGATATCTTCAAGCCATGATGTACTCTGCCATAACGTGATACCTACATGTATGATATCTTCAAGCCATGATGTACTCTGCCATAACGTTATACCTACATGTATGATATCTTCAAGCCATGATGTACTCTGCCATAACGTTATACCTACATGTATGATATCTTCAAGCCATGATGTACTCTGCCATAATGTGATAACTGTAGACTCCTCACGCAGCGTCATGCTCAAATACTCTATTTATTCTTAGTCCCAATATTTGTACTTTTGTAACAATAAAAGGTCTGTAAAATGCTTGCTGTCTTTTTTTAATCTACAAACTTAATTTTGGTGTGTTGCATTAGCGATTGTTTTTGTTATATTTGTTCATACAAATATTGAACTGTGAAGAGACAACATCGACTCAGGATCCCGTACATCGACCCACCACTTGTGTGTCCAGTGTCACCATGTTATCAGAGCCACATTTATACAGAAATCACTCTGGAATTTTGTTCTTCCTGGTCGATATGCCAAGATAAGTCGGGAGATATACGCAAGAATATTTTAACAAACAGAACACCTCCAATATGAGAGAATCGAAACCTGGACCAGCCGTGTAGCTGGCCTGTGTGCTAACCGATAGACCAACCTCAGATCACTAAAAAGGACTGGGAATCGGGCGGCTTTTCCACGAAACCCTAGTGACAATGACGCCAGAGGATTGTTAAAGATCAAACACACATTTTCTATCAATCATATTTACTAGGGGAAAAATAGTGCCTATATATAACTTCCTCACAACATTGAGGAAGTAACTCGAAGCCTGCACTAGAGAGGCACCCTTCTTGAGCCCGGATGGGCACATGTATAAGCAAGTAGATGGGGTCGCCATGGGTTCTCCCCTAGGTGTTCTGTTTGCGAACTTCTACATGGGTACCATCGAGCAGAGGGTCTTAGTTGACATGGACTTGAAACCCGTCATATACTGCTGGTATGTTGACGACATATTTCTGCAGGTACCTGATGTCAGACGTCTACAGCAGCTGAAAGAGGCATTCCAGCAAAATTCGGTGTTAAGTTTCACTCACGAGATGGAGAGTGATAGGAAGCTGCCCTTTCTAGATGTAACAGTCATGGAAAGGAATGGAGGCTTCCACACAGCAGTTTACACTAAGGAAGCCAACATAGGAATGTGCCTTAATGCCAATAATGACTGCCCGGACAGGTACAAGAGGAGTGTTGTGCTTACGTCGACAGAGCTCTCACTCACAGCTCTGGTTGGAAGCAGGTTGACGAAGAACTCCGTAGGGTAAGGCAGGTCCTAGTCAACAATGGCTTCTTTAACGGTTATGTTGAAGACGTTAATAAAAGAAAGGTGAAACGCCATGCAACCTCTGAAGAGTCAACTAACACAACGTTTGTACCTCCTATTAGACTGTTTTGCAGGAACTTCTTTTCGACGACTCATAAAACGGAGGAAAGTGTCCTGAGAGATATTATTAATAGGAACGTTATTCCCAAAGACTCAAATCAGAAGATACAATTAACAATTTACTACAAAAACAAGAAAATGGCCAACCTGCCCAAGAAAAACTCCCCAGACACCAAACAGAACACCTTGAAAGAAACCTACGTCGTCTATGCCTTCACGTGATCACTTGGGGACTATCAGCCCTAAGATATCAGTATATAGGCAAGACAACAACGTCTTTTTCTAGGCGATTAACAATGCACAGACAACAGGGCTCCATCAAGGAGCATATAATCTCCTCACACAACCAGACCATCACCAGAGAAATCTTAACAAACAACACAGAAATTATCGACAGAGACAACGACAACAGGAGACTCGACATCAGCAAGGGCCTACACATCAAAAAGTCAAAACCACAATCAACAACCAATTATGGCATAATTACAGTCTACCCACTTCAAGACTCCCGAACCAACACAGAAGCAAGAAGATAAAACACGCAATGTTCCCATTGATTCATGTCCTATCACCTCACATGGCGTGGCAGCTGAGTGGACAGCGCTTCAGATTTGTAGTCTTGAGGTTCCGGGCTCGATCCCTGGTGGAGGTGGAAACAAAATGGGCACAGTTTCTTTCACCCTGATGCCTCTGTTACCTAGCAGTAGATAGGTACCTGGGAGTTAGACAGCTGTTACGGGCTGCTTCCTGGAGTGTGTGTACTCACCTAATTGTACTCACCTAAGTGTGCTTGCGGGGGTTGAGCTTTGTCTCTTTGGTCCCGCCTCTCAACTGTCAATCAACTGGTGTACAGATTCCTGAGCCTATTGGGCTCTATCATATCTACACTTGAAACTGTGTATGGAGTCAGCCTCCACCACATCACTTCCTAATGCATTCCATTTGTCAACCACTCTGACACTAAAAAAGTTCTTTCTAATATCTCTGTGGCTCATTTGGGCACTCAGTTTCCACCTGTTTCCCCTAGTGCGTGTGCCCCTTGTGTTAAATAGCCTGTCTTTATCTGCCCGGTCGATTCCCCTGATAATCTTGAATGTGGTGATCATGTCCCCCCTAACTCTTCTGTCTTCCAACGAAGTGAGGTTTAACTCCCGTAGTCTCTCCTCGTAGCTCATACCTCTCAGCTCGGGTACTAGTCTGGTGGCAAACCTTTGAACCTTTTCCAGTTTAGTCTTATGCTTGACTGGATATGGACTCCAGCTTGGAGCCGCATACTCCAGGATTGGTCTGACATATGTGGTATATAATATTCTGAAAGATTCCTTACACAGGTTTCTAAATGCCATTCTTATGTTAGCCAACCTGGCATATGCCGCTGATGTTATCCTCTTGATATGAGCTTCAGGGGACAGGTCTGGCGTGATATCAACCCACAGTTTTTTTCTCTCTCTGATTCTTGAAGTATTTCATCTCCCAAATGATACCTTGTATCTGGTCTCCTGCTTCCTACCCCTATCTTCATCACATTACATTTGCTTGGGTTAAACTGTAACAACCATTTGTTCGACCATTCCTTCAGCTTGTCCAGGTCTTCTTGAAGCCTCAAGCTGTCCTCCTCTGTCTTAATCCTTCTCATAATTTTGGCGTCGTCAGCAAACATTGAGAGGAATGAGTCTATACCCTCTGGGAGATCATATCAGAAACAGGATAGGTCCGAGTACAGAGCCCTGTGGGACTCCACTGGTGACTTCACGCCAATCTGAGGTCTCACCCCTCACTGTAACTCTCTGCTTCCTATTGCTTAGGTACTCCCTTATCCACTGGAGCGCCCTGCCAGTTACTCCTGCCTATTTCTCCAGCTTATGCATCAACCTTTTATGATGTGTGTGTGTGTGTGTGTGTGTGTGTGTGTGTGTGTGTGTGTGTGTGTGTGTGTGTGTGTGTGTGTGTGTGTGTGTGTGTGTGTATGTGTGTGGAAAAAACTAGTTAGTAGTTAGTAACAGTTGATTGACAGTTGAGAGGCTGGCCGAAAGAGCAGAGTTCAACCCCCGCAAGCACAACTAGGTGAATACATATGTTGTTGAATATGACCGAAAGGGTAAGATTAATGATTCTAACACGAATCTTCTAAATATTTCCTGTGTTTTTCTTCACTGTCGAGGGAAGTTAAAAAACTACTGATCCTCTGTAGAGTAAGGCAGGTCCTAGCCAACAATGGCTTCTCTAACGGTTATGTTGAGGACGTCATACTAAGAAATGTGACACGCCATGCAACCTCTGAAGAAACAACCAACACAACAACTGTACCTCCTATTAGATTGCTTTACAGGAACTTCTTTTCCACGGCCTATAAAACGGAGGAAAGTGTACTGAACGGTATTATTGAAAGGAACGTTATCCAACGCAGACACCAATCAGAAGATGTAATTAACAATTTACTACAAAAACAAGAAGATCGCAAACTTGCTTATGAAAAACTCTCCAGACACCAAGCAAAACTCCTTAAGAGAGACTTACGTCGTCTATGCCTTCACGTGCCCACTTGAGGACTGTCAGTTCTAACGATCTCAGTATATAGGCAAGACAACAACGTCTCTCTCTAGGCGATTAACCATGCACAAACAACAGGGCTCCATCAAGGAACATGTAATCTCCGCACACAACCAGATCATCACCAGAGACATCTTAACAAGCAACACTGATATAATCGACAGATATAACGACAGCAGGAGACTGGACATCACCGAGGCACTACATATTAAGAAGTCCAGACCAGCATTCAACAACCAGCTAACATAATTACATTCTACCCACTTCAAGACCCAGAACCAACGCAGAGACAGCATTCAATGACCCTACCTAAGGATCATAAGCTGCCCTGTTGATACATTTAATACCTAATTAATACCCCCCCCTTCATCCATTAAATCATTAATATATTTAATACCCCTTTATTATGGCATTCATCCACCACCTCACCCAAAGAGTATATAATCCGAAGTTAAACACTGTACGGCACAGACAGCCCCGCTCCTGTGCCAGGTAAGTCCACAACGGGCTCACCATAGCCCGTGCTACTTGGAACTTATTGTTCCAAGTAGCGAATCTTAAACAACAACAACAACACTGTACGGGGCGACGGGAGACATCTCCCGTCACGCAGGGTGCCGTCGCACCTCCACAGATCTCCAGTATCAGCTCTTGATACTGGTAATGGCTCAAAAGGGTCACCACTTACGGGCTATTCATGCCCGTGCCACCTTTTGGGTGGCTTAATCTTCATCAATCAATCACTGTGCGGGTGCACACAGGACGGGAGAGACATCTCCCGCCAACACATCACAAGGCGCAGTGTGGTCACAATGCGACCCAAACGTCTTAAGGTCAGAGCTACTCCACTTGACGGTCATGCTATCGGAAGAAGCAATACTTTAAAGGTCCTGAAGGACGTAACTGGCCTCAAACCCGCTGACATTAGTCAGGAAGGTGAAGATATCGTGCTCTACTTTTCATGTGAAGAGGAGCTAGAAAAACTCCTCACTAACGATGCCTTTCTTCGCAAAGAGCACTACCTACATCCTCACTTCCCATGTCAGTTCCTGGCCGGAAGAACTGTTTTTATCAGCAGGACCAGCCGATGGATCGCTGAGCGACCTCAACATCATATCAAGGACAATATCGAGGACGAAAATCCAAACCTGTCGGTATTCAACCTAGAGTTCTGCAACACCGACAAAACATCAATGAAGATTACGTTCACCACCATAGCTGCGGCCACCCAGGCTGCCACACAAGGATTCTACTGCTTCGGCCTAAAAATACCACCCCACCAAATAAAAAAGGAACGATACCATGAGATCCAGCAGTGCTTTAAGTGCTA